GAGGAGGAGGAGGAGGAGGAGGACGAGGAGGAGGAGGAGGCCCCGTGACGGTCCCCCGCGGAAGATCGGCGCCCAGGGCCGCTCCGGCCAGACCCTCGAGGAGGCGAACCCAGGCCGCGGCGACGAGGGAGCTCCCCACCCAGGACCGGCGACCCGAGGGACGGCCGCCAGACATCCAGAGAGGCCGCCAAGCCGACGCCGCCTCGGGGGGCGGCGAGCGGAATAGCAGCAACCGCTACGCCATCCCCAGACCCCCTCGCGTCGCGAACCAGATTGCGGCGGGGGGTTTTGTCCCTCGTTTCGGCCTGTGGGGGCCCTTCCCGCGCCTCGGGGCCGCCAACAAAACGACTCGGGAGGGGAAACCGGTCCCGGGGAATGGGTGGAGGCCTCTGGGGGTCGGCGCTGTGAGAAAGAATCACGACGTCGGGGGTCTGGGACCTTCACGCCATGGGGGGGCGCCTCTCCCAGGGCGGCTGGGGAGCTTCTCCTCCAACGGTGGCAGGCGGGGATACAATTTTTTTCGGGGGCGCGCCAACATGGTTTAGCGAGCCACGAATTTGGCGCACGGCCGCCAAATCCATGGATCGGGGGAGGTGCCCTCCCCAAAATCCAGCCCGTGCCGCCTAGTTCGGCGGCGGAACTCCGCGATTCTCCGTGGAAGCGGGACGCGTCGCTGATCTCCAGACCCCCGACGTCATGATTTTTTCATGACGTCGACCCCAAAGGTTTCGACCTGTTTCCCGGGACCGGAGTTTCATCCTGAGTCGTTTTTTGACGGTCCTGAGGCCCCGTAAGGGCCCCGAGAGGCCGAACATCGTGAAAAACCTCCCTTCGTGATTTCTTCACTGCTCGAAGGGGGTCTGGGATCCACGCCCCCCGGGGTCCAGGTCTGTGATCGCCCGGGTGTCCCCCGCCGCGGTGAGGCCGTCGCCCCCGGCCGCGAGCACGCGCTGTGCCGCCCTGCGCCCGCCAGGCCCCTCCCGCGGCCGCCCGCCACGGCGATCTCCATCCAGTGGGGCAGCCTTCCGCCCCGTGACGTCCACTTTCCCAGCCCTCCTGCGGTGTGGGGTACTCGTTTTGAATAGAGCAGTGTGGTCTCCAATCTCCACCTGCTCCTCTCCTCCTCTCCTCCTCTCCTCCTGTCTCCTGGGTTCCCTTCTCCTCTGCTCTCGTGCCGTCTGCGATCTGGGCAACTGCGCGATCTTCTTGATGCCCTCACCTGATTTCACTCCTGAGGGCTCTTCTTGCACACTGCGGGTCCTTCATAATGCCAGTCAGCACTGAGTGGTCCTGCAAATAAGCGCCACGTGTATAAAAAGGGTTGGGTACGTCGCAGGGTAATTCGACTGCCCCAGGGCTAGGTCGGGTATGTCCTCCTACAGGCGGATGATGGGCGAGAAATGGAGATAGTCAAAAGATTGAAAAAAATGATTTGTGGAAAATCATCCCCAGGCTATGTGTTGAATCTTCTCGAACATTCCTCCTGTATAGAGGGGCACGCCTGGCGGCCGTTTGGGACGATTCTGGCACCCCTGAAACGCGCTCGGCAAAGCACAGCTGCTGGAACGCGTCCCCAGGCGAGAAACCTTCAGGAATGAAGACTGCAGCAACGGGGCAAATCCTTGGGGGACCGTGGGAGGTGTAATACTCCGCTTGCGCTAACTAGTGTGCGAGCTGGGGGGCACGAACCCTTGCTGGGGGGCACGAGCTACTGCAAGCGGCGTACTATGGCGTCCGAGAGACTGATTGCGTCCAGACGGCAAACTACTTCATCCATGCACTAAACTTTAAGTACTATTGCGCCTACTCTGGCCCCCCATCTGTGCTACCCCCACTTGAGGGGCAACGATAGGGGACTGGCCTAAAGGGGAAACATCGGCCTGGAATCAACGATATATCGCCGATAGATCGGCGATGGCTCCCCGATAGCAGATCCGCACGCTCCTGGGCGGGGGTGGGGGCTATCGGACCCCATCGAGGATCAATGGGTGGGCGCTTTGGGGCGGATGCACCCCCCCTGCGCCCATAGTCACACCCCGATCCTTTTTCCCTGACCGCTACTCCGGCTTAGACAGAACCGACAAGGACCCCCGACGATCTCCATCTCGTGGGGCAATTTTCCGCCCCGGATCCAGTTTCGATTGTCCTGGGGACCCAGAGGCCGATGTCGAGGAAAATGGGGTCCCGAGGAGAGAGACGCGTATAGCGTGCACGGACGGTGAGTGGCACTTCGATGGGGGCCCCTTGCGCTCTCAACGCTGCGAAACTGGGGCACCCCAGCTTGGAGAGAACCGACGAGGACCTCCGCTATTCTGCATCCTGCGGGGCAGTGAGCTTGCCGCCACGGGCCGGGCCCTCTTCCGCGATGGCCCCGGGGCCCCAGAGGCCGAAGCCGAGGGAAGTGCCAGGATTCAGAAGCACGCCGTCGGAGGCCCCGCAGCCCGCGCTCGCCGCAGGCCCGCGGCGGCGGCGGGCCTCGAGCTCCGCGCGCAGCCTCGACAGGCACGCCTCCGCCTGCGCCCGCGCGTGCGCCTCGAGGTCCGCGCGCAGCGCTGCGAGGCGCGCCTCCACCTGGCGCGCGCGCCGCGCGGCCTCGGCGGCCCTCGGCGGCCCTCGGCGGCCTGCGCGGCGGCTCCCGCCCGCGCCCCCGCAGCCCGCGGAGGCCCTCGGTCGCGGCCTACCATCGGAGGCCCTCGGCGGCCCCCCGAGCGCCCTCCGCAGGCCCTCGGCGGTCCCCCACGTGCTGCGGCCTGGTGCGCGCGCGCGTGCGCGCGCGCGGCGACGGCAGCGACGACGCCGTTCGAGGCTCGAGGCTCGAGGACTCTGGGCCCGGCCAGCAACGCGCGTTAGGGCAGGGGACTGGCGGTTCCCGAACCATCCATCCTCTTCCTTGTCCTCGACCTCCCCGTCCCCGCGTTCGCCCTCCTCATTGTCCTCATCCTCCTCCTCCTCGTCACCCTCCTCTTCTCCTCCTCCACAATTCCACATGATGAATACCACCCTCGTCTCTCCACTGATTCCGTGTGGGCCTCATTTTCGCATCGGCGCTTTGCCCTCGTCGTTCAGAATGGCGTTCTCGCCTAAGCGCGGGCTATTTTTCCGGATCCGACTGTCATTTGTCCATAGATGTCGCCCCCTCATTTCTTCTCCTCCGCCTTCCTTTGGTTTTCCTGCTCCTCTCGCTACTTCCATCCCAGTTCCTGCTGCTGCTGCTGCTGCTGCTGCTCGTCGTCGTCGTCCTACCTCCTATTCCTCTTGCTCCTCCTCCTGCTCACCTGCCACCTCCTCCTCCTCCTCCTCCTCCTCCTCCTCCTCCTCCTCCTCCTCCTCCTCTGCGCGCATCTCCGATACTCAGATTGCGCGTAACACGATGGGGCCGCTTTGGGAGTTCTTTGACACAAATCAGAGCCATGGGAAGGGATGGGAGCGAGGGATAAGATGACAGATGTGGCCCGTTCGCACCCAGCTTGTCATTTCCCAAGGCGGCTGGCAGAGCCAGCCGCCTTGGGCTAAATTGGCCACGGACATGCCCCCTTCTCCTCCCTGCCTCCTCCTTTTCCTTCTTCTTCTCCTCCATCTCCCTCCTCCTCCTCGTCCTCCTCCTCATACCGCTCCACTTCCTACCTCCTGCTACTTCCTCGGCCTTACCCGCTTCCTGATCCTTGTCCTTTCCATGTTAATCCTGCCTCCTCCTGCTGCCTCGTCCTCCTCCTGCCTCTGCAGGCTGACCCTCCTCATCTGTCTCATCATTTCGCCACCTCATCCTCCCACTCCGTCTCCAGCTCATGCCACAACAGCTCATCCGTCCCATACCCCGTCCAGCTACTGACCGCATGCCGAACCAAGCTGGTTCGCGTGCGCACGTCACGCTTGTTCCATGCAGCTTGCTACAACGAGAAACACAAACCTCGTTTTCGAGATCATGCACGTTAAGCGGCGTTGCATCCAATCCTGGTTGTGGCGATCTACCACCCTAGAGCCGCAAAGTGTAAAACTACACCAGCACAGTAGTTTACTTCGAGCGATCCCAACCCGAGAACACGAGGCGGGATACTTTGGGAGCACCAGGCCCCTTTTGGCTTTGAAGCCGCTGTATGCAGTCGTCAATCGTCGAAGACAGTGGGCGGGATATTCAGGAAACACCAGGACCCTGGGGGCATTGCGGCCGCAGTATGCAAGGTTTGCGAGGCAGGTCGGGATTCTTTCTCGAAGTCTAACAACCCCACTCTGTACCGGGTGGGGAAAACGCCGCAGTCACATGTCCACATTGTGACGGAAGGACTTCCCAAAGGCGTATTCGGTAGCATTCCGAATGCCGATGCATCACCTGGCCACCGAGCTTAATGCTTTTTCCCCGAAGGCATGCGGACGACCATGCCTGTCCCAACAGCATGTGCGCGCCAGCCTTTTACACAGAACCGCAGCGACTGTGGGTGAGACGCAGGATATGAAAGAAGAGGACTGGAGCACAATCAATACCAATCATACGTACGGAACGAGTTGGAAATATGCAATACCCTCGAACTGCGCCGGCATGAACAACAAAAACGCTGACCCCAAAACACCCAAGGATGCAAGGGACACTGGCCAGGCAACATCCGTTCCCCCCAACGTCACATCGGCCACGTCACGACGGCCAGAATCGAAGACCGCAAGGTGCCGTTGCGAAAAAGGCCCTTAAAGCAAAGGTGAGCGTTTTCTCCCTCCTCCTGGGTAACGGTCGTTACCCAGGGGGGGGTGTCGGGCGGGAGGGTAACGGTGGGCCGCGGCGTGCACCCGCCAGGGTGCGTCCGCGCCACCGGCGCATCAATCGCCTGCGTGCACAACAGCATGTAGGGGGGTCCAGGCCCCCCCTCCCCCAGTGCGATCGTTAGCATTACCAGGGGAGTGGGTTAGCGTTACCCGGGGAGGGGGGCGGGGTTGGCCCGGATAGCGAGCGTCGCGCTGGGGGGAGGAGAACACAGCGCTCACGAGCTTGACTGCAACGCAGAAGCTCACGATCAAAGCGAGGCGCGGCACAGTGGCCCGCCGAGCTGGCAACCGGCACGCTGCACCGCGCCAGCCACTACACCAACGGCTCCGCCACCAGGCCGGAGGCGGGGCCCGAGCCGCCCGGGCGCGCGCGCCACACGGCCTCGAAGGAGCAGCCCAGCATGGCCTGCTGCGCCTCCGCCGGGGGGCCCGCCGCCGCAGCCTCGTCGCAGAGCAGCGCAAGGGCGGCGCGGCCGCCGGGCGGCGCGGCCTGGACGGCCGCGTCCGCCAGCAGCGCCGCCGCGAGCGCCGCCTGGCGCGCGTCCACCGACGCGGCTCCCAGCAGAGCGTGGCTCCGAGCATCGGGGGGGCCCGTGGCTTGGAGGACGCCCAGCATCCACCTGCGCCGATCTTGGCCGGGCTCATCTGGGGCCAAGGCTGGGCTGGCCAGGATCGGTTCGGGCGCGTGCGAACATAGATTGAGGATCCGTAGATCTGGCGCGTGGGCGCTAGATCCACGGATCGGGGGAAAGTAGAGAGTACCCCCCGAAACATGCAGCCAGTGCCGCCTCATTTGGCGACGGAGCGCGTCGACTTCAGATGCTAGCGGGACCCCGTCGCTAATACACTCGCGATTCCTCGATCGGAGCTGACGGATGGTCGGCGTCCAGCAACGTGGCGGAAGCGCCGCCGGGGATGGTGTCGGGCACCTGCCCGCCGCCGCGCGCCAGCCGCGCCAGCCCGAGCACTGCGACCGCCGCGGGCGCGAAGGGCAGGTTGTGCAGCAGCGCCAGCGCCCGCACCAGCGGGGGCGGGCCGCCAGCGGGGGACGCCGGAAGCACGTACTTGACGTGCACCCGCCGGAGGGCGTCCTCCGGCAGACTCGTCGCCGTGCGGCCGGCAGCCTCGCCCTCGCCGGCAGCCGTAGAAAGCAACTCACGGAAGCTGGTGGTCGTCCCCACGGCTCCCAGCAACGCGCCCGACTGCATCTCCCTCACATGTTGCTGTTGGGCGCTGCTGGTCGCTGTTGGACGCTTTTTGGATGCTGTTCGGCGCTACTTACTGGGCGATACTACTGGGCACTTCTGGGCGCTATCGAACGCCAGTCACCGATACACGCTCGATCCAAGACAAACGGAGGCTTCCGTAACTTACCCTCTAGATCAAATGTACCAATACCGCTACTCCCTGGACCTCTCCCAGGGTGCGTTCTGACTCGAATTTCGAGGCGAATCCAACCGTGGCGACGAGACCCTGCCAGGAGGGCGAACGAGGGGAAAACGGGCGAGTGGCAGCAGTATTTTTGTTGTTCAGCAAGCGTGGCGGTACAATTCTTCCGCCTGTACAGTTGTACCCAGCAAGCGGGCCTCACATCGTAAAGTGCGCCCCGTCTCTGCCGGGACCGCCCTGGGCAGGACGGCAGGACGGCTGGGAGCCCCCCCTGGTCATGTGGCCCCCCAAGGGCGAGGGGCAGCAGTGTGGGCACCTTTCCCCCCTCCGAGAAGCACCTGCTCCAGCCCCCCGAGCTCCGCGCGCGCCAGCCGCGCAAACTCTGGGCCCCGCAGCTGCTCCCGCTCGCAGAGCATGATGGGCCGATCTTCCACCACCACTGCCACATGCAGGAGAGGGAGAGGGAGAGGGAGGAGGAGGAGGAGGAGGAGGAGGAGGAGGAGGAGGAGGAGGAGGAGGAGGAGGAGGAGGAAACGGAGGAGGAGGACCTCCCCGCCCTCTCTTCTCCTCCGTCCTATACCTGGTTCATGGCAGCGGAGGTGGAGCACTGGCCCGCCAGAGCAGCACGCACTCCGCCCGCGGGTCCCCGCGGCAGACCTCGGCGAGCAGCTGCAGCGCGGCCTCGGCGCGCCGCGCGGGCGCCACGGCGGCGTCGAAGAGCACGGCCTGGGAGCGCACGCCTGCCCCCAGGGCGCCCAGCACGCCCGCCGCGAGCGGCACGGCGGCTGTCGCGGGCGCCAGCTTCGGTGGCAACTCCCGGGGGGGGGCTCCCATACAGTGGAGGCCAGTCCACAAGAGAAACCTTCCACCAGAGCCCCAGACCTGAGACCCCAGGACGACCACTGATTCTTGGTGAGGGAACGTCACGCTTTGCCTGGCAAAGCCATCGAAGCTCAAGAAACCCAAGGCACCCTGGAGGCAGGCAGGATGTTTCTTGGCATGGGCCTCCACTGTACCACCTTGTCGGCTTTTGTGAACCGACGCCGATCGACCCTGCATCGACGCTAGTCGACGCCAAATCGACGCTAAATCGGCGCTACCTCATCGACTCCCAGACGCTAAACGACGCCAATCGACGCGAAAGACAGAACTACGCGGGTCCACAAGGCTCCCATGATTTGCGACCGAACGCCAGGGACGAGCCGAGCTGGGCCGGCACGGGCACCTGCCGCAGGAGCTCGTCCTCGCTGTCGGCGCCATCGAGGCCCTCCGCGTGCACCAGCATCCCGGTCTTTAACCAGCGATGGCCTTCAGGCATGCTCCCGCTGCCATTGCTGAGGTCAGACGGCTTGAGCCCAAACGGCTGCGCACGGAGGCACTTGAGCGACGACCAGGAGCGGGCCTTGCCGCGACGCACGCGGGCCGCCAGCGTTGCACACCGCGTGGAGACGAGGACGCTTACAGCAGGGGCCCGAGCACAAGAAACCTTCCACAAGAAACCAAACCCTGAGACCGCAGGACTTCCATTGGTTTTTGGTGCGGGAGCACCCTGGAGGCGAGCAGGGCGCTTCGTGGCATGGGTCTCCACTGCATGCGCGATCTTCCATGACCTGACGCGGCAACCGTACGCGCGAATGTCCGCGCGGTTGCCCCCCTGTGTCTGCCGTCGCTCAATGTGTGCACGACGCCAAATCAGCATTCGGACAGGGCCTCCTGGCCCCGCCCGTCAACCTCTGACCACGCCAGGGACAGGGAGAAAGCAGGGCATGATGGGCCAACTCTGCACCACCACTGCCCCAGAGGTAGGACTGGGGAGAAGGGATGAGAAGGGAGGATGGGGACGTCCTCCTCCTCCTCCTCCTCCTCCTCCTCCTCCTCCTCCTCCTCCTCCTCCCCCTCCTCCCCCTCCTCCTCCTCCCTCTCTTACCTATGGTAGTGTTGGTGGGAAATCTGCCCATCAAGGCTCGTCGCTCCAACTATCTTCGTCGCGGCTCGGTGCAGCGCAAAAGAGCGGTATGGCTGTGGCTATGGAGTTTCGGTGGTCCATCTCGCCGCAACGCGGCCTGGCCCAGGCTCGGCTTCGGCCTCATCAAGCTCAACCTGCCTGCATTCCCGAGCCCATTCAACCGCCGAGTCGGGCAATTTGAATCCGTGTAGGATGGAGGGGGGAGAGAGGGAGGACAAAGCCGAGAAAAAGGGCGAAGGGGGAGAGAGGGAGGTGAATGAGGAGCGGAGGAGGAGGCCGAGGATGAAGAGCAAGAAGGGCCGTTCAAGAAGAGAACATACCGCCAGGTCAATGTCAAACTGCCTCGAGATCCCTCCCCATCCACCTCACCGCCTGTCACCCCTCTGTCAACAAATCCTTTTTAACTCCCTCTGGCCTGCGAGCCAGACCGACCGAAGGGAAAACGAACCTGCGATGTTCAAGCAAAACTGCAGGGAGTGGCTGGTAACATGCCCTGGCACGATCAGCCACACGAGACGCCATATATAAAGGCACTGGACAAAAATTCGACTTGCGTCGCGCTTAGCGCGATGACAGATGAGCGCGCCGACAACAGAACGACCAGAGAGAGAGCATCCAGCGTGTTGTGCATGCGTCCGATCAGCCTGTCATGACACACGTGCGCCCCTGCAACAGAGAGGACTGGTGCGCTTCACTCACTCCGAGTCAGAAGGGATGACCGAACTACTGGCAGATAGAAGGACTTCGCGAAAGCGCCGTGCATAAACTTCCACGTCAAAGACGGAGTCTTTTATCGACTTGCCCTTATTAAAGACTGGCGTATGGACCATGCGCGCCCAGGCCTTTTCGTCCTGGTCGACTGCTCTGATTTTCTTCAGGCACTGCTGGAAATCGCTGGAAAATAGTTCCCTCGTAAACTTCACAATCTGCTTGAACTCTGAGGACTCCTCCTCGTACTCACGGACACCTGGATCCCCTGGAACCGCAAGCTTGTCCTCCATTTTTTGTTGCAGAGCCCAGATCTGGTCCAGCTTCGAATCCAAATGGTCAAACCCACAATCTATGAAGCTATCGGGATTGTAGTCCGTCAAAGCATCAGAGGGTCCAAAATAAACAGGCACCGCTCTTGCCAACCACGCGTGCACGATCTTTTCCTGCACGGCACCAGGCTCATGTGTGTTTTGGAACACTACTGCAAACTTGAATGGCTCCCATGCCAGTACGGCCTCGTCAGCGAAAGTAGCTGCGAATTGATGCGACACGCCATATTCAGTCAGCTTTTGCGTCACAATGTTTTGAGCTTCCAGAGGCTGATCTTTACGACCCCTACAGTAACCCAGAGCTTCTGGTGCTTTTGCGTAACCTTCAGCGACCTCATCAAACAACGCAACGCGCAGCCAGAAATCAGCTGTTGGGTAATGGTCTTTCCAGCATGCCCCGTGCATGAATGCCATGAACCTGCTTTTATTCAACCGGCTCGTTTGGCAAACTGTTGAGAGCGGCTGCAACGCAGCATCGTCCTCGTCACGGTCAAACGTGAGGTCCTGAGGCGAACTCAACCAACGCAAGCCGAAATCACGGAAGGATTCTGGCATGTGAACGACGGGGCACTGAAACTCACTCGATTCGAACCGCAAGTTGCTAAAGTGAGTTATGAACACATCGCACCTTTCATCCACGAAGCTCTCGCGTGCTGGCTCGTACTCTTGGCAAACACAGAAGGGCCGCTTTGCCTGGTGCAAAGAAACGTTCCCGTTCGGAGGCCAATATACCCCTTCGGAGGACCAACCGGGGGAGTGATTGGAAGGGCTCCGGATCTCATCCCTGCGACGCGCAGGCATGCAAAGACTGTCGGCTGTGCTCATTACGTTTGGAAAAGCTATATCGGCCTCGTGGCTTCTGTTCGAAGGTCCTGGTATGATCTCGATATCACTGCTCGGAAAGACCGCGCGCATGAAGGTGCCGGCAAAGAACTGGCACATGTGACCGTGAGGTTCTGTTGCGTCACATCCGACTTTGATGTGGTTGGGCGAGCGCTCGCCTGGCCGATCTGCGTACTTAGCTGGCGGCTCAAATCTGCCCAAGAAGAGTGGCTCGCCTTCAATCGGGGGGGACAGCGCCCAAGCCTGGAAGGGCGACGCCGTCCTGCGACATGGAATTCCTGCATCCAGGCGCAGTCCACATACTGCTGCTACCTGCACCACGGCAAGACAACGGTGCGTCCATTGACGTAGCATGACGAGAGTGAGTTGTCAAAGAAGTCAGATGCTAATTAAACGTGACTGAGCGAAAATGGCTTGGGCCCACATGGCCACAGACATACGGATGTTCAATGTTGGCGGTAGAAATATCTGTAGCCTTGCCGTTGGGCACTGAGCAAAGTGTGCTCAATTCCCTTAGAGATCTCTGCCATACTCTGGATACCTATTAACAAAAGGTCCAGGGCCCCGTGCTCAGGGCGGACTCGGGCGCTCCTCTTTTTCACCGTGTGACTTTTCCAGAGAGCTCGGGAGCGTGGTTTGGATCCACCAAGATGGTATAGGACGGTCAAGAGGTCCGTCTAGCCGGCTGCCTTCGGAGACCTCGGGGCGTACCCAAGAGGGTCAAATCACAAAAGCGCCCCAGATCGTTGGTCGCATACTCGCGCTTCTGGTCAGGACAGCGTGCAACACGGCCCGAGTGGCCCTTAGGTTTTTTTCGTGGCTGCTTGGGGCGCTTTGTGCGGACCGTGGATCCTTGTTCGGCGATGTTGGCGATCGCAGGCACCGAACGAGGCGCAATTGGTGCCACCTTGGGATCTTGAGGCAACCTGCCTGCGGTGTGTGGGGGCGCTCCGATGGCGAAACGTGCGCTGGCCCAGTGCCCCTGGATATATCATCCCAAAAATGTCGTGCGCGCCCTGGACCTTGATGGGCCTGTTTTCCATCACCACTACCATAAGTTGGAGGAGGGAAGGAGGTGGAGGATTAGGAGAAGGAGGAAGAAGAGCAGGAGGACCCCCTCCTCCACCTATTCATGGTGGTGGCGGTGGAAGACAAACCCACTAGATCTCGCACGAGGGCTCTGGGCCCCCGGGCGTGCTCTCGGCGAGGCGCAGCCCGAGGCTGGCCAAGCGCCGAGAGCCGCCAAGACATGTCCGGAAGCCCCAATTCTCGATTTTCAGAGGATCGCCCCGCAAAAGTGGCCCGCGAGAACCAGGGACTGGCCAGGACAGGCTCGAGCGGGTGTGCCTGGGAACCGACGTCCTGGTGCCCCAGCGGGCGGTGGATATGGATATATTTCGGCCCCCGGGGGGGCGGAATTTGTCCACATCCACCGCCTGCCGAGGCTCCGAAAACTGACGCTCCAGGCGGTGGTCATGTGTAGATTCCCGCCCCGGATCCACACATGCGACAAGCGCACGACCCAAGCCTTAGCAAAGCATGCGCCCAGCTATTGCACGGCTGGTCTGGGTGGCGGACGCTCCCCCAAAAATCGCCCCCCAAGAGGTCCCGCAACTATTAAGTCGGGCCTGTCCCCCTACAGGGGGATTTTGGACGAACCATAAAACATACCCCAAACATACGCTCCAAATGGTCAAACATAGTAACAAAAATCGTCCCCAGACTATTTTTTGACTGTTTTTGAAAATTCCCCCTGCAGAGGGACGGGCTCGACTGAAAGCTATACTGCACGGCTGGTCTGAATGGCGGGCGCTCCCCCACAGATCGCCCCCCAGAGGTCCAGCAATCACCTGACGCACGCCGTGCGCCGGCCGAGCCTCCCCCTCCCTCCTCCTCCGTCCTCCTCCCTCCTCCCTCCTCCCTCCTCCCCCCTCCTCCCCCTTCTTCTTCCCTTCTCCCCTCTTCCCTCCTCCCCCCTCCCTCTCCTCGGCCTCCGATCGCTGCAGGAAGCGCGCGCCTACGGCCCCCCCGTTCGCCCTTTCGCCAGAAGGCGCCCCGAGGCTGGCCAACCGCAGAGAGAGAGAGAGAGAGAGAGAGAGCCAACGAACACGCCCAGAAGCCTCACATCCCGGTTCTCGGAAAAACGTCTCTCGGGGATCTTCCGACCCGGAGGAGGAGGAGGAGGAGGAGGAGGAGGAGGAGGAGGAGGAGGAGGAGGCGCCGGCCGAGCCTCACCCTTCTCCTCCTCCTCCTCCTCCTCCTCCTCCTCCTCCTCGCCGCGGCCAGGAGAGCTCCTCCGTTCCTTCTACTGTGGCGCTCCTTCTGGCAGCGGTCAATCCAGACCCGGGCCAGTCAGGCCTTGTCGAGTCCTGCAGGATCCTGCACGCAAGCCCGCGTCCACGCGAAGGATCCTGCGAGACCCTGCACCCGGACCCGGGTCAGTGCGACCCTGGCCCTGCAGGATCCTGC